TTTGTCTTTCCATATTTTGACATAAGTACAGATTTGCAGCTGATGAGTATGTGGGACTGTTCTTTTTCTAGCCTTTTCCACCGCCTATAAAACTTGATCCTTATTAGCCACGTAGCTCTTTAGTATCACAGTCAAGCCAGAATCATGTGTTGAGAACACACTGGCTTCCAGCTGAGTTTGTATTTGGATGTCAAACGTGCTTTAGGCTGAGCAGTGCTAGCAAAGGACATGTGGATGTTTAGCCACATCTAGCGGGGTATGTTTAGCCACATCTAGTGCTACAAATTACATTGAAATTACAAGTGAGGAGAACCTTGAGACTTCCAGCAATTTGAACTGTGATTAAAATCCATACAGCAATAGAAAGATAGACTAGTGATCCTAGGAGCTGAGTGAAGACTACAGAGGATCTCTAGAAATAGATTTCCTAGGTAGACCTAGGCTGAAATACATTATTAAAGACATGTCATGCAAGGTATTTTTTTTAAATCTGAAACTAGTGCAGTTTATTTCAGCTGGTGTAACAGGTTCATCCAGCCGTTGTCACCCATGCATGTTTTGTCACCTATGAATACCTAATTGCACTAGAGGAAATGTGCGAATTATATTCCTTTTTAATTTCTGGGTTCCTCCTCCTTTGTAGCAGAATTTACTGAAATTTAAGGATGTTTATTTAAGTTGAGATTGAAACCGAGCAGGAAGATGAGAAAAGCTAGCATTGTAGGTCCGAGGTAAGATTGTTGTTAGACTCATTGAGCTTTTCTGTGAGCAAGTGCTGGGAGGGTTTTGTGTGGTCTTCAACATCAGTAGAGTTGTGCCAACGGTTTGGATTTCAGGGGGTGCTTCCAAGGTGGGAGTCACAGAAGGATTAGGAATAAATCATTTTCTTTCAAAACTGGAAAAGCTGCTGTATCAATTTGTTGGTTTCACATAGTGCCTTTGAAAAAGGTTCAGAAATACAGGAAACATGGTATTTCTAGTTATTACAGATGAGGACAGTTTAAAATGGCAATGGATAGTGAAACAGATTGTGCTTTAGCTTTATGCTTAGGGCTGGGGTTTTGGGGAGTTGTTTTTTTCTTCTTGGGCTTTTTGAGCGAAGATTGATGCAGGATTTGCATTTAAATAAATTATTCTATAGTTTGAGGAACTGTTCGAGGTGGGCTTTATCCTTATTCCTTTTTACTTTTGTCAAAAATGGTAACTGCTGCAGTTGTTTTATAAAATATGTTACCATTTTTTACAGTCTGATTTTTCTTCAGAAAATTGCTTTTGATCAAATAACCTCAAGAGTAAAAGATGGATCTGTACATTGTAAGATGTGCACTAGCAATAAAAACTAGAGAAGAAATAAGATATAATAATATGATAAAGGTGAAGAATATTGGGTTTTCCTTCTTTTGGTTGCTGCTTTTTTGTAATACCATATTTAACTAATTTTGGGTTTTCTTAAACTACTCTGCTACAACTCAGGTGATCCTCTTGTTTCATTGGTGGCCTATTTCCAGCTGCATTTTCATTGTTGGTGCTTTACTTGATGCCTTTTAAGCTTAAAATTTGTTTTGCCTGCTCTACAGTTTGAATATGTACCCTTTCTTTTGAATGAAAAATGCTAATGGTTATGAAGTTCTTCAGGGAGGCAGATTTATGAAGTGTCCATAATCATGTATACCGTAAATGTTTGATGGAAAGTTAGATGCTTTAATTGTTCCCGCTTTCTTTTGCTATATTCTTCTTGGTCAGCAGTAATGGGCACAATTCTCATTTACAGTATATAAAACATATTATTTTTTAATTATGTCTAAATAAATACCTAATTTTTTTAAAAAATCATTTTCCACGCATTAGGAATATAATAGTTAAAATACTTTCAGCTGTACTTTAATCATCCAGCACGACGAATAAATGTCAGAAAGTAATTTCTGTGTAAATCAGGTAGCACACCAAAAGTAACATGATTTATGTAATTACTTTTTTAAAGTGAATACAAAATGCATGGAAAACTATACACTTAGGAGCCACATGAAGAAGTTTTTAAAGAAGTTCTTTTATTTAGATTCTGCTTCCTAATACCTGCTTTTGAAGCTAGGAGTGTTTCTGTGTCTCAGCTGAGAAAGCAGTTCTGCAACACAATAAACACTTAGAAATCAGTAGTTATGTGGCCCAAGCTTATCCTTTCCTTCCCCTGCTCCTGTGTTTCTACTCTCTCCAAACTGTGGATGCTGTTACCCGATTCCACAGCAAGCCATTCTAGTACTAAATCAGCTGCTGGGAGCTGTGCATTTCTGAGGGGGAGGGAGGGAACTGGAAGTGCTTTTCCAGAGCTCAGTGTCCTCCCTCACCTCACCGTGTGGTCACCTTCAGCTGAACCCCACAGCCTGCAGCACTTCCAAATAGAGTTGTCACACTGTAAAGTCATAATTCTGTAGAGCCATATAAAACCTATTTTATTGAAATACTGATTGAAGTGATGTTACAACTTAAAACGTGAGCCCAAAATTACATAAATGGACCTGTAGGTTCTGGCCAAAGGAATTGGGGAAACCGTGTCCTTCTAATACGGCATTTGTATCATGTCTTTTTCAGTTGCAGGGGCAAAGGTGTGTTGTTTGATGTATATCTACCTCCTATTTATTCTTTGATTGTACTGAATTATTTTAATCAAATCTTAAACTTTTAATTTCTCTAAAATACTTGGATCTGTAAGGTGGTGGCTTCTTATCTGATTATGTGGAAGTTCCATCCTCCTTACTGCCCTAAAGTTTCATTATTCTTCCAAGCTCTGTGGGTTGCTCCTGTCAATATACTTCAGTATTACTGAACGTTAATTACCCAGACTATCAAACCCAGTTATCAGCATAGCAAGATGAATATTTGCAATTTAAGTAGAATCAAACATCTTATATTCTCCTCTGCTCCATAGCATAATTTAAAATGAGAACATCCTTGTCCTTGTCCCTTTCTAACAAAGAGCAAAAAAAGAGTTAATATTTGAAGGTTCTTTGTCCTCATGCGTTATTGAAAGTCTTCTAAAATTACTTTGGACTAAAACTTCTGTAGAAATGTATTTAAAAGATTAGGGCATAATTTAAATTTTATATTTCACAAAACACTGACATCTCTGCAACTTAATTCTGTTCTAGCAAACCCGTCATATTGTCATAGTTTATAATTTGATAATTAAGTAGTTTCTCCCATTTTAAGTTTAGAAAAAGCCTGCAGTCTAAACAGGATTTTATTCTAGTTCATGTAAGCAAAAATTAAAATGAGCAACGTGTTTTAATTGTTGTTCTTGAATGATGTGGAAGGAAAAAAGCTTCAAAAGTTGGCACTGATTTCAGACTGGTCAAAGTCAATAATTGCTGTGTTAATTTCTCTGTTCAGTGGTCATTTCCTTTCCCATCTCTTTGGATGCAAATTTACTGGATTTCTATCACCCAGGCTACTCAGCATCCTAAATTGTGTCTCCTTGATAACACAGCTGCCGGTTTGGGAGGGGGTTAGCGGTGAGGTAAAATAGTTCATGAGGCAGATGGGATGTAGGAAGCCACTAAAGGTGACTGTTTGGCTTTATCACTTGGAGATATTTGGGGAAGTCTGGTATTTTCATCACTCCTCCTCCCCCTTATAACCATACTTTTAATCTCCTAACTTCCTTACATAATAAGGGTGGGACCTAGAAAACTCTGCACAGATATAGATAAATATACACTCATACACTAAAAGGAGGTTCAACTTCATAGAAATAAGATCTGGCAGGCTGAGAAAGCATTTCTTACTTTGTGGTAAAGTATGACAGAACATTTAGGCTGTGGTCAGTAGCATATTGGGAAATGAATAAGGGATTCTGTGGCTTTGGCAAAAATCTAGGTTTTGCCTATTAACTAAGGAGATTTCATCAAGCAATTTAGAAAATCCACTTAAAATATTAATACCAAGCTCCTCAGAACTGTATAGGCTAAGGGGCAATTGGAAAAGCTATTTTTTTATTAGATATGAGTTTTGATTTCATAGTCTGGAAAACAGATTCCCTGAAATGTTCCTGGTCCGGGGCGTTCCATCTCTCTAGCAAGTCGGGTTTGGTTATAATCAGGATTTGCAGCAGTTGGCATTAATGCAGAAATTTTAGCTGCTGCTTTTTGGCTGCTTGCTTTTTGACTCTCTGTTCTCCCTTCTCAGCCCATACACAGTAACTTGGGATGGTTTATCTCTTAGCAGGAGGGCAGTATTTCTGCATATGCTATGCAGGGCTGAAATATGAACATAGGGATTTCTCCTGCAGTAGATAACAAGCAGTAAATTGATTTATTTTTTTTTCCATTATATGCACTGTGTGTCAGAATTCTAGAAGCAAATAGGCATTGCTTGTTTAAACATTAGAAGGTTATTATTCTACTAAAGGTTTTGGAAATACATGGATTAAAGGTGCTTGAAGAACGTTTTTGAAAACCTGTAAATTACTCAGGTTTGCCTAATTCTATAAGCTTGGAATTTATTAGCTGTTGTGTTAGTCAACTTTCCAGTGTTGTACTTTATCTTTTAATACAGGTTAACCTATTACATGTGAACTCATGACTCTTTTTAAAATCTTGCTGACAGCACAGGAGTTTACAAGTAGTTTAGAAAATTAAATAAGTTTGTGTGGGAGATTTGTGACGGTGGATTTATATAAAAGGTAATTTTCTTCCACGCTAAATGGAGATGGAGTAAATTACTAAGCACTTATTCTTCTAAATATATCACATTATCGTCAGAAGTAAAATTTAAAACTTTCTCTGTATTATGGGTCAAGATGACAATGCGTCAACAAAGACAATCTTCAAACAGAAGACCCAGATGAGATGATTAGGTTAAGCATTTTGAAAAGGTCTAGTTTACCTTATGTAATTTTTCACATTTAGAAAAATAATAAATTACTCACAGCTGATTACCTCTTGCAAACAGGGTTTCTAACTTTGCAAATACAAAGCTGACAGTCTTTTTTTTTTTTTCTTTGACAGATGGGGATGGACAAAGCGAACATTTATTACCAGTCTGTGAAGATGCAACGTGTCAAAAAAGTGCCATCTACTTAACTAAGCTAGGATTGGATCAGGTACTGTAAGTTTGGAGTTGCAAAGATAAAGGAAAATACTGTGCTTTATGAAATAACATGACATAGGAAAGTGATTTTTCATGAAAGAAAACTGAAACTTCCTCACTTGTGATAATTGCATATAAGAGACTTTTATTTACTTATTTATTACCTATCTAAAAAGATACGGGTTTGGAAGAGGTTGCTTACATAGAATTCTACATAATGCAGAAAATTATGGGTGTTTCTGATGAGTCACTTTCTTGATTGCAAAAGACTGCATTCTAAGCACCGGAACTGCCCTAGCCTGAGATGACAAGGTTTGTGTTAAGAGTTGGAAACAGGTCTAATTAATTCAACTAAGCTTCTTCAGTTTAAGTTAGGGAGTTATTTTTTAGTTTATATAGGCAGATATATATATACACACACATGCACACACACATATATGAAGTTGAACCAGCCCACACCTCTTACCCTTTGTTTCTACTGTGTCTTTGATTGTTATTAATTAAGTAAATTTCCAAATAGTATACGAAGACTTGTTTAGGCTACGTATCTTCAAGACTGGGTTTGTACTAAACTATTTCAGCTTTGTTCACAACACTGCTTGTTTTGAGAGATATGGTCATAACTCATGGAATATTTTACTATGTATTCACTTATTTTAGCATGGGTGTTAATCTGTTTTAAGTCCTTGCAGTTCCCTGCTTTATAATAAAGTTACAGCTTACAATAAATTAACCTAATGTTTGCTTGATGCCTTAATAAAATTCATATTTAGCAACAGGAACTGAAGGCCAAGGTGACCTATAAAGTACTGGCTTAGAGCTGACAGCAAAACCCACAGTAGTGTGCTTACAGAAATTTGTAATGTGTGCCACGTTTCTAACCAGGTGATGAATTACTGACTATTCCTTTACTGACAAATTAAAAGTAGAAATTTTTTTGTGTAAGTAGCACCCTCTCTGACCTATATTTCAGAATTTATTAGTGAACATACTGTTTGCTCAAGGAACCATACATACTTTGATAAGGTGCTTTTTGTTACAGTCCAGCCCAAGTTTATAGCGTAGGTTTTCTCAAAGAACTAACATTTCTAGATAGGTACACTTTCCTACTATGGAGAAAACCACTCTGTATTGGAAAGGAAAGCACACAGTTACCAGTCAGGTAAGGAACCATAATCAGGATGGAATGTACCATCAGTGCAAGAAAAAGCAAGTCTAAATTTGATAATCTGTCTCTTCCAGCCGTATAATCTTGGCATTTTTTCTCTTAGAAATGCATGTTTCCCCATGCACACTGGATTTATTTTGTGCTTTGGTTTGGTGTTTTTTACATTAGTTCCTTGTGAACACAGAATAGAGGCAATGGATTGTAGTGTTGCTGGATACAGAGTGTTACAGTAGAGTCTGATTTACAGGTCAGAGCCTTTGAATAAAGCAAGGGGATGCTCAGGTCATGATACTTGGACTGCTTTCTGCTCAAAGGGGAGAACACAGGCTTTTGATAGGCAGGTTACACTGATGGTACTGCTGTAACGGGCTGCTTACATTTCACCGTTGAGTAGTTGGGCTGCTTTTACGTCAAAAAACAACTGCTCTTTAGCTATAAATTTAGTTCCTTACTCTTGATAATATAAGAAGTAAGACATTTGAGTTTTTCTGCTCAAATAAATTTGAGACAAATATTCTCGATGAAAGTAATTTCACTGCAGAAAACCAACCACACAAACAGCACGTACCGTTGAGAGACACAAAGCTGTTATTTGAGAGTAGCGGATGACTGGGAGGTGTGCTAAAGAAAAGTTACATTATCTGGTCTTTGTGGTACATTTCTAGAAGGACTTGATGCCGTAGTAGCAGAGGAAGGTGTGGGTCAATTTGCTAATATCAGATTTTTTCCAAAGTAGAGTCTTTTACTATAACCTGCTCTGAAGTAACATTGCACGTACGCAGTTTTTCTGTTCCTTCATTATGTCATTTTTTTGTTAGAGGTCAACTATTTAATTAGAAATACTTCAGATTTTTAACATGCCACTTTTAAAACTCATCAGAATATTTAAATTTTTTTTTACTTAATTTAGCAATTTCACTGTGTAATTTCAATTTTAAAATAATTTCCAAGATAATGACATTTCAGTTAAAAATTAGCAGCCAAATATTGTTACTTTATTTTTAAAAGTGAGGAACCCAACAGATTCTTATCCTGCTAGAAAAAAGTTTTCTAATGTACAAGGAGTTACCTAGAAACTTTAAAGCAATTTTCCCTGCACAATTTTATAATTTATTTTTTTTTTCAATTAAAAATGACAGTATCAAATGGCACACAATGATGACTTGTTCTGGCCTAGCCTTTTAAAAAAATTATATCTAGAATACTCTTTTCTTGTATTCTTAGACCCATCTAGAGGTGGTGGAGCTTTTTCTTCTAAAGCATTTTATCTTTTCCATTCTGAAACAGTGGACAATACCATTATCTTCATTCAAATGTCTGCAGTTTTTCCCCATGTGTTGCGTGTTTCCTTCCGGTAGAAATCTCTTGAAATGTGTTACTTCCCATATTTATTTGGAAGTGAAACTTGTTAATTTCATTTAATTTGGTCATTGTGAGATCAGATGACCCAATTTCTGAGCTTTCACTAAGTGAGTCTTCACGAGAAATGATGAATATAAACTTTGTGGCAACAGACCAGAATAAATTCCTTTTATTTAAGTACCATACAATTGGAGGGAAATAATCATGAGCCCTGGTGGTGCAGAATGTGTTTCAACAAGGGGATGGTATCCCTTGTGGAACAGGGTCATTATAGGGAATCTACGGGACACTGAGAGATTGTGAGTCTATTATTGAAAAAAGTTCAAGATGCTGTATATCCATTATCTCTCGTCAGTTGTTACTTTAGGGTTATATGGTGGGGGTTTTTAGTGTTAAGAGCATAACTAAGAATTCTAGCTTCCAGATTATTTTTTCTTTTTAAGGAAGTTACTGATCTGAGATCTGAAAGATCACAAATTAGATGACTGTCTTACAAAAAACATTTTGCCTACAGTAATCGGGCCTGGTTCTGTCCTTCCTGCTTGTTTGTTGTGACATTTGATGAATCCAAATGAAAAACAGACCCATGACAGCGCATGATGCCTTGGGATGAAATGCAAAGCAATCAGAAATGTGCATCTGTAGAATTTGGGATTCTAAAAATGATGCTGGGGAGAGGCATGCAGGGGCGTGTCGGGCTTTGGACTTGTTCTTCTGGTAAGATCTCGTTTGATGTCTGTCAGTCTACAGTATATTTCTCATGATGTCTTTGGCACAGCTGAATGGCTACTGGAAAGCCAAGCAGATCTAAGAGAACTATTTCAAGGATGATCTTTCATCATAGGTATTAATTTATTTAATGATTTAATAATCAGAAATATCTCAGAAAAATTGTCTTCTTTTGGATGATGGAGCAAAAGTAAAGGCCAAGAAAATACGCATGAATGACTTGAGATACAGACCTACTAAAATTTTAAAAGAATGTGAATGCTTCCATAGCAACAGAAGAATTGCTGTCAGATCTGAAGTAGAATCCCATATGCTGTTTCAGATTGTAGCAAGTGTTAGGACATCTCAGACTTTAAATTCACCTGCAATAGCTACAGATTAATCTGCTACCTGATTTACATCTCTCATCCAGATTTTGAAAATCAGACCGAGTTCTCTCCGAAACTGTTTTTGAAGCCCCTAGTACTGTTTATTGTAGAAACTCTAGATGTTACGATATTCTTACAGATGACTAATCTTTCTTTTAATTCTGTCAAGCATTCAGTATGATTCCTCATTTGTTTCCTGAGGCAAATAGTATTGCTTCAGCCCCTTAATTTGAGAGTTTCTTTGTGGGGTTGATGATTCTTATAACCTTTCTCTGTACATTAGAAATGCTATAGCTTTATTCCTCCTACAAATCTGGCAGCTCTGAAGTAGAACACAGCAGTGTATCCTACAGCCAGCCACAGGTCTTTGTGGCATCATTCTGTAGGCAAGAGAGTATCTGACAGCATTGATTATCAGCTGCAGTTGGTCATTGTTAGAAGATTTTCCTCATTCCTCTATAACAGTTTAAAGGAGGGGGGGTGTGTGAATTGCAGCTGCTGTAATTTTCATAAATCTCAAGTTCTACAAGATCCTCTCATCATTTCTAACTTGCTCATCTTTCTCAAAGCAGCTATGGGGCTGTGTAAGACACATTACAGCATCGAAAATGACTTCTACTGATTTGGTTACCATTTTCTGTCTTGTTAAATCAATATGGGGATTGTTGTCTTCTGGGCTTTGAACAAGGTAACTTAATGGTGTAATGTAAAGGTCATTTACTTCAGTTTATTTCTGTGCAATAGTGGCTACTCAACTGCGTACGGAATTCAGGTGACCTTCCTAATGCACTGAAAGCCTAATGCATCCAGAAATCACTGGGCTTATTTTTCTGTGCAGCTGAACTGCAACTCACACGTACAGTAGAGGGGGAGCCCCCAGGGAAGAGGACTCTGTTGCTGTGGCCAGTTCTTTCAGGCCTCTCTTGATACTCATCTTTCTCTGGGATGGAGTAGCGTTTGTCACAGAAAGGAGGAGAACCCCTGTCATCTCCAGAAAAAGTACTGGCCAAGAATGGGCTACCAATTTCCAAATGCTTTTTGACTCACAGCTGGCTCCCTGCCCGCGCGGGCAGACAATTCTATGATTCTATGATAGGTTTCTAGCCATAGTTTAAAAATTGAGATGTGTTAATCCCACGGTTTGGGCTCAAAGGCCTGCTAATGGGCTTTACAGCAAGAGAACTCTCTTTCTTAATGTATAGAAGAATATGGACTCAGAAAGAAATAAGCCCTTTTTCAGTTGGGGTGAGTGCAACTACCTTTAAATTTTTCTCAAGTACCTGAGATCTTTTTCAAAATTAAAAAGATACCATTTTCACAGGGCAATAAAGCATTCTGTCTTCTACTTGTTGAAAAACAAAGATTTGAAGTGTTTGTACACAAATTTTCAAGCACTTAAAGATATTTTTCTTACTTTAGTCTATAAAATCATTTATTGAAGGAGAAAAAATATCTATATAAATGCTTTAAGTAATGATATTAGCAGTGCTATGCAATGGAATTTAACAGAAAGGGAAGAAGTAAATTTTTTGTTTCTCTGAATATTATTTGTTCGTTTAAATTTTCCTTTAGATACACTCATTCAATTTTTCAATCTGTTTTATCATCTGAGCTAGGTAACAGAAATCGTACAATCCAAAAACTGCAAAAAATAGCTTTGTGTCTTCACTGTACCCACCTATTTCTACCTTAGAGTAAAAGAAAAACATTAGTTTTTTTCCTATTAAAATAGTAACAGCAAACATGAAGCTTAAAGTAATTGTTTGGATTATCAAATACAAAAGAAGTAGATTTAGATTACTGACAAACATATTTTCATGTTTTGCCTTCTGTACTGAAACGGATGTCCTGAGGCACGCGCGCAGTTAATCTTGCATTACATTACACAATACCGCCGTTTAGAATAGAAATATACAGAATGAGAGGCATCAAAAATGTGGCTTAGTGTGAACTTAAACTGCCAGAGTAAGTTACATGTGGGACGGGGCACTGTGGCTCCGTAGCGTGCACAGCGAGGGGGCTCGGTAGCAATAGGTGATCTCTCTGTTCTGCTCACCTCTTGGTTTATATCTCTGCATTTCATTGTAGGCCTCACGATTGTAAAATTGCTTTCTATGAATCACTCTCTCAGTAGAGTAAAAACAGAATACAAATTTGGATTTGTGCCTAAAAATTAATTTTTAATTTTTTTTTTTCTTTAAAATAGTGGTGCCATACATGGGGACATTTAGAAAGTATATGATGGATATAATTGGATTTCATTGCAATGACTGTGTGAATGATACCGTGTAAAGTAGAAACTATATTATATTTCATGGTTCTGATTTCAATCAGTGGTTTTCAAAATTATAGTATTTTGTAATAATATTGTTTCATCTGTCTTCGGCATGACAAATGCTAAGAAATGTAACCCTTTCAAAAATTTCCCTCAGGAAGTCTTTTTTTCTTATTTTCTGTTTCTTACATTTCTCCCCACCTTCAGCAGCTAACAGTAACTAAATAGACGTGCATATGTTGGGGAGGGTGGGGGTCAAAGTATGTTTTATTTCACCTTAGAGTTTTCATTAAGAGTGGTGTAGACCATGGTTGCAGTTCAGATGTCGTTCCTTACACAGGCAGAGTACACCCAGTGTCCGGCAGAACTGTTCCAGGCTTCTAAGCCATCTGTGATATTCAAACAAAGCTAACCTTGATGCACTTCTTAAATAATTTTGGGGGCCTCTTTAATATTTTTTTAATAATCTGGGAGGCCTCTGATTGTGTGTAATCTCAAGAGCCCAGCCCAAGCATCACATGCAGTTGCCACGTGGCAGGAATGTTGTTGGTGACTGGACTGTGTTAGTGAGGGAGTCTCTCCACAGCGGGAAACGATGCTGTCAGGGATCTCATTCTGGTTCCTGAAATAGCTAAATTAAGGCTCAGATGAGGGACATGTAAGATGCTGTTAAGTGCTTTTGATGTTGGTGATAGTGATCCTTTAAGATGGCACCCTTCTGTCCTTTTGAAGGCATTGTCAGTTAGTTGACATAAAATTACTTCTGGCTTGAAAAATGGCACTGAATTTTTTTGCAGCATCGAAATGTTAACCCTGGTACTTCAGTTTAATACCAACTTGTGAAATTACTTTGATTTTAATTAAGATAAATTCCTATTTAGCACCTCTGCAGCACTTTGGAAAATAAGTGCAGATACATTCTATTTCTTGTCCTGGAGAAATTATACTTTGCATTTCTTTTGTACTTTCAATTTGATACTCTAATCTTAATTTCTTATCAAACAGTTCAGTATCTGATGCTGCTGTGGAGATAAGGAGGGGAATTGAAGCTCTTGAACTTCTAAATATCTATATATAATAGAATCATTCAAGCTGAAATGAACCTTAGGAGATCCAGCGTCCTGCTTTTAAGTAGGGTCACCACTGAATTCAGAGCATGTTGTTTAGAACTTTGTCCAGTCAAACTCTCAAGACCCTCAAGGGCAAATATTCTGCAACTTCTCTGAGCCTCTTTCCTAGTTAAATTATCGTTATCATAGTGACTCTTAGTTTGTTTGTTTATCTCTAGTTGGAATCTCCCTGGTGTCTGTCTGTGACCGCTGTCTGTTGTTCTTCTGCTGTGTATCTCAGTAGAGAGTCTGGCTCCGTCTTCTCCAGTTATCTCCTTGGCCATGGTTGAGTCCCTCCGAAGTCTTCTGTTCTCAGTTCATGGGACTGAACATGACCTATAGCCTTGGCCTGTCCTTTGAGTAAATACTCAACACCTGACCATCTTGGTGACCCTTCTCTAAACACGCTCAATATTCTCAAACCTTTCTTGAACTGTGGTCTATGAAACTGGACCCAGGATCCAGATGCAGACTAAATAGTGCTGAGTAAAGACAAATAATCACTCCTCTCAATCAGCAGGAGCATAGGAAGCCATTTCGGTGCTGTACTGTTTGCTGTCGTAGCTGCCGTATTTAGCATTGGTTTTAGTAGAGCTGTCCCCCAGCTGGTCAGTCTCCAGCCTGTACCGTTGCAGGGGTCTACTCCCCTGGGCAGGACTTTCTTTGCTGACTGTTCTGAGGTCCCTGTTTGCCCATTTTTGCCTTTCTAGGTCCCCTCTGAATGGCCATCCTGTCCTGAAGCACACTGTTTGTATCCCCCGATTTGGTGTTGTCCACAAATTTAATGAGGGTTCATCCCTCCTCCAGCTTTAATGCTGCCTGTTGCTTGCAATTCCAAGAAAAACAGAGGGACTCAGGATCTCGAGGGACTCAGGATCTCAAGGCCCTCATGGTCTGGGCTTACCTACACTTCAGGATTAGTACAGATTCCAGGCAAGCCTGAATTTCAGTGAGGGTGCTCCTGAATATCTCCATACACTGCACACATTCCAAAACCTGGGTCCTTTATTCTTACAACCTTATCTATTTTTTTCTGTTCTGGAATAATTTAGTGCAGAGAAAAGACTTGAAATGAATTTTTTCATTTGGTGGCAGTCTTAGGAAATAATCCTTATTTCCTCTTTGGAAATTGTTACATGGTTACAAATCCTGATGCAGTGAATAAATGTCAGCTGTTTTAAATAGAATTAGATGGTTTAAATTAAATAAAATGGATTTCTTTACCTAGCTGTTCTTTTTGTTTGTTTATTTTGCAGTGGATTCCAATCTTGCAAGACTTCAGAAATAAAGACACCCTGTGGGGCTTTGTACCATATCAAAATGACAAATCTTCAACGGAAATTTCATTCCCAATTACACTTCATATTGGAGATTACAACATGGATGGCTACCCAGATGCTCTTGCTATACTAAAGAACACATCTGGAAGGTAGAGTATATGTAAACCTAGAAATAAAGGCTATCAAATGCACGTTCAGTCATCAGTCATACAAATTACTCATTTTAGTGCATCTTGTTCATTTCAAGTGAAGAAAATTTTTTATCTCTGCTAAATGTTAATTATTTTTAAAAGGTGTGCATTTACATGGTATATTCAGAACACATAATGGTATAGGCTTAGACTGGGACTCCTGGTGGGGAATTGCACAGGCGAGTGGAATATGAAGAGCCATTTTAGGTGCCCGTCCTGGATCACAGGAGCTGATTATCTCTCCCTTTCCTTTCACAAATGACCTTTTGTAAAATCCTGACTGCAGCTTCCAGTGTGGGCTACTAGCACCAGGCTGCTGGGAGCTGGGGAACCTGTTCTGTGCTGAGACAAGGAGTGAACACTAGTGATTCTGCTGAAAAATGCAATAGTGTTTTGCCCCTTTTGAGAACCAGGAATTTTAGATACACCTAATAGGTTACTAGTGATTTTATATTGTCCAAATTTAACTGAAATAAATCAATTCCCTCTCTAAAAAAAAAAGTTTCTAACCTGTTAAATTTGTTGGTGTAAGCTTTCTCTTCCTGTTTTCTTTTTTCCTTCATTACTTGCTTTCCCAGTACTTTGTATTGCTACCATCTGGTGTGAGGTGGGAGAGGGCATGTAGTGATGCTCACAGGGAGACTCTTGTACCTTGAGGAGTTAGTGATCCACATAACAGTTGACCTGAGTAGGTGTGTGCCTGAGCTGCTCTGCACACAGCATTGGCTGCGGGATAAACTCAGCCAGCTAATCGTAACGGAGAAGCCTGTAGGCAGCTCTCACTTGGCACCTGGTGATCATACCACTGGCACGTCCTTGTCTTTACCTTGAAGTGAAGCAGCGTGTTTTCGTGTGAACATCTTTTTGCTTGACAGTAGAAATGATGAATAGACGTGTTTACTTCTAAGAAAAACCTAAAAGAGCTCTAGAGACCATATTGTCAGTGATCCTCACTACAGACAGGATATGTGCATCATGCCGTGCCCTGGCTAGGGCTCGGGCTGATGCTGCACAGCTTGGAATTCCAGCATCTGAAGAGATGTAAGATTATCCATACGATCCCCTTTTTCTTCTTTTGTCATCACTTGCAAAAGGTGTTCTAATCCATACCTTATGGAGTCTCAACATCTTCCTTATTGGGAATGACAAATACTTGCAGTGGTGCATTACAAGGCAAAATAAGTCTCTCTTACAGGTGTATTTATTATCTTCTTCCGTATGGTATTTTGGATGAGCTTGGGTGCAGGTTCATAGTTTGAATTAATACTCAGTAATGAAAAGAACTGAGGAGCTCACTTTGGTGCTTAAAAGAGTATATAGACAGAATTCAGATGCTGAAGTCAAAGAAGACAATTCAGATCCTCTTGTGAGTCACCCACTGACATTTCTGTGCTAGAGTTCTTCAGATACTGACACATACCTAAAAATGACCCAGTTTGAAGAGTTACGTGCTTGTACTGAGCCTACGTGATGTGATTCAGAGAGAAGGCAGTGAGCAGCTGAGCTCTGTCTCTTTACCTCTGAGCCTTAAAATAACTAGCACAGCAGCTGTTTATATTGGGATGTGGCAGAGGAGGAGGTGATGCTGTTACCACCCAGAACCTGCACAGGCAAAGTTAAAGCACTCGGGCCCTGAATGTCAGGTTTTTTTACTCCCCAGTCTCGCTCAGCTGGGAGTTTGCATCTTCTGTTCAGCAGCCATTGAATAAAGAGTGTAAACAGCCTGGAGAGGAGACAAGAACCACAGTCTTTCCTTTTTCATAGAAATACCGTGACATCTAAACTGTGAAGTTGTTCTTGTCTTTGCTTTTGCTGAAGCCCCACAAATCTTGTGTTTTTAGCTGTACTATGTACTTTGGCTGCCTTCCAGCCGTGTACCCTGATGACTAGTGCACTTCAGAAGGGCTTAGGGAACTTCACCGAGTTCAGAAGTTTATTTGAAGTTATTTTATCTTTTAAAATTCTTAGGAGCCTCCCTCTGGCTGGTGTGTAATTATGGAAATGTAATATTATGTAGAAGATTTAAATAGTTTATAGATGTATATAGTTTCTAGTTACTCCTATGGAAGGAAGTTACCTATATCTCATTGCAATGAGTGACTGTGATACACTTTCATCTTTATTCTCCTTGCTTCTGAGATTGATTGTTTATTCAGTTGAGTGCATCTTAAAGTTAATTTGAAACTTGACTTCAAAGTTGAGTGACACAGTAAGGCATAAGGACTGAAGGTACTGGCAGATGATTTGGCAGGTTATTAAAAGGGAAATTCAGAGAGCTGAGGAATTCGGGCAAAAAAAGAGTAAGTAAACTAAGAATTAAGAAATGCATTGCATCTTAACACTATGTTTCCAGCATTTGTGGAAAAGTAATAGAAACAGACTCTTTGGACTTTGGGATGGGAATGAAAGTCATATTTTTTGCACCCACTATGAAATGTTCCTTTCAGAGTAATATTAATTCACTATTTCTGAAAGCAAATGCTTCCTTTTAAAACATTTAACTGGGTCATAGAGTGGAGAGAATTAAGAGTGTGGGAATTAAATTAAAAGCTCTTCTTGAATTAGAGTAAATTAAAATGAAAACCTTATTTAATTGATTTTAAACACTTGTGGATCAAGCTGTTTATTTCTTTTCTCTGAAGCCTTTCATGCTATATCTACAGATCTAATTTCAGTGATTGATTACTGTGATTAAATGATAAAAGCATTTTTGTAAACTCTTGACCTCAATCTGTGCTATAGTCTGGGAAGCCTAGCTTCTAGTTGCTGTAACTTAAAGAAATTAAAGGAGACAGAAATCATTTCATTAATCTGAAAACATACTGATACATGATAATGGAAGAACATGATTAAAATCAATTATATGCTTTCATCATCATTCTGGAAAGCACTTTCAGATCAAATCCTTAAAAATACCTACAAAACGCTGAAATAAAGACATGATGGGTAGGAATAACTTTGGTTTACTGTCCTTCCAGGTGAGTAAGTCAGGAAAAATGATTAATAGCTTCAAGTATTCTCAGAACTGCCATAAGACCACACTATTTCATCTCCTGCCATATCCTTTTGATTTTAAATAAAAGCATGTAATACTCTTGACAGCTTGGAGATGTTCCTTATTAACAACAACAACAAAAAAAGGAATCTGACTTGTAGTTGCAAGTGTGTGGGGTGGGGTTGAAGCCAGAGACTCAATAAATTCCAAAAGGGAAGATGTTAAATTCACAGTCAATTCTTACATATTTATCTGTCTGATATGAATGCTTCTTTTAACTTCTGAATTGAGTCAAAGCCTGCACATTAGAATTCCACAGATTTTTCTTCAGGCTAGATACATACATGAATTTTTCTTCCTTCTAGTTATGACTGTATTAGAAATTGTGTATGTATATAGAATAATAATAGGTAAAGGGATTTTATCAGTAGTTATTCATTGGTCCATCTCTGCTTCCTGTCTTATCTAAATGTATTCATTTTTTCACATGCTGGTTTTAAATTGACTCTGGGAACACTGAAAGTGTAAGTATCATATGTGAGGCTATAAGCACCTATCTTTCTTGCACCACGTGTTTCCAAATTAGATGCTAATAATTAGCATCTTGCATTGAAAATATGTAATCTAAGGAAGGATTTTTTTCAGTGATGCTTTTATTCAAAGGAAATGTTTTTCACTAGTGAAGTAATGGTAAGGTTGGAAATAATCTCCCTAACGTTGATGATAAATAACAGTAAAGACTGAAACTTGGAGATAATAAAGAACAGGATATGGGCAGTTGAATGAAAAACTTTGAGTATAATACAATTCTAGAAAGTTTTCCAGGTATTCATGCTGAGTTTTAAAATAATGTGTATGTATTACTCCTTTACATGGGACTATGTGAAAGGACTCTTATTAGACCCAATTATCTCTTCCTAAATCATTGCTACTTGTCAGAAGTAAGGTTGGATAAAGAACTTTTTTTAAATTTTGGCTTGATGAGCACCCTGTAATAGAGCAAATCTAAAAAATAGAGGCCAATCCAATTTTTCTGAATGTCATTCAGATGTCTCCTGTATAACTGTAAATGAACTAGCCTAAAATTGACAGAATGAGAGATGTATAAAATTAAGCAGTAAATATTTAATTCTAATTGCAAAGTGGTATGTTAAAATAAAACCATGGTAAGTCTTCAGTCTGTCTTTGGTGTTAACCTTTGCTTATAGCAACTCCACTGTATTAAATTTAGCTTTGCTGCATAGGTGACCTTCAGTCAGGAGGTCCCAAATTGTAGGCAACTCTGCACTTGATTGAGCATCCTTCATAAGCTGTTTGGGATAAAGTTTTGCAGGTAGTACACAAGTTAGGTGTTGCTGTGTATATGGTGGTGTGAATACCTAAATATTAAAAGTGCTGCAAGTGGCATGTTAAGGATGATATGCTAGTCTCAGTTCAGAGTTCTTTTGCTCTGCCTCTTCTCAGTATTTAAGCTGAATTGTTCTATATTGACTGTTTTGCATTTGTGTAGCCATTCAGCATTGATTTTAAGGTTTTACCATTGTCGCAGTGTCTTTGTGTTTCCCCATAGGTTTTCAGGGACATTGGTTTATCATTTTAAGGATGTTGATGATTTTCAGCATTGATCAGCAATGATCAGATTTTTTTTCTGATAGCATGAATCTTTAGAATTTGATTCAAAATAATAGGAAGGTCATAAACTTGTTCTTGGTAACTGTAGTATGCAGTAGAAATAAAACATGGAGGTAGATACGGCGATGGTGTATTAAAGCCCTAAATAACATCAAGACTCAACTGGCAGCTCATAGGCCAAATTCAGACCTCAGGAGTTCTTACAAGAAAGAAATGAACAGCTGGGGATACAGTGAATTGCTCATTTCTCTTTCCTCTGCAAGCAGCAAGGCTCTGCAACTGTCCCTCTTGCTGCAGCCTTTCAAAAGAATGGCCCACACACTAAGATTTCCTCTGCCCGTGCCAAGAGGCAGCACATGGGAGCTCCTGTGTTGGCACAGCCCTGGGAGCAGACTGGGACTGAGGAGGATTGAGAAAGATAGAATGTGGTTAACAGTTACTAAGATGTATAGATAGGTAGATACACACACATATATATAGTTGCTGGTTTGCATTAGTGTTCATTATTATGTAATCAAAATCTAAAATCCTTTATTAATCTTTCATTTCAGTGGGTTTTTTTTATCTTGTATTGAGCCAATTGGGAATCACTTGACTGCACACGAACAGAATTAAGTTTGTGCACAAAGACAACTAATAATACGTGCAGGCTTCAGTGGAGTTCTGAACGTAGCTCACCTTGAAAACTAGATGGAAAGCACTGAGGTTGTTCCTGTACACAGCTGTGAGGAAGGCTGCAAGTACACTGTTGGGTTTGGGTTATTTTTTTGGTCTGTATTTTTGGGGCAAACCTGAAGACTGCCCCCCACTGCCAAATGAGCGCTTTCTGGTTTTTCCCTCTATTCAGAAGTTGCTGGGTTAAAAAGGTTTCTGTAGTAAATAAACTCGTTGTGTCTATCCGTTCACAAGGCTTACAGTTTATACTTGAACAGTACTCTGAACATAGAGTGTAATGAATGCTTGACGATCTTTTGTCTTTTAAATAGTTATCATCTGATAATTTCCAGCAATTTAAAAAATATGACTTGAAAGAAAGCATCTTTCTAAAACATCCTCCAAATTTAAAAAAAATAAAATATGCCAGAACAGTGAGAAAGATAAATTGAACCCATTTGCTTAGCTGAGGTTGTCACCTTACCTTATAGTTGGTTAATCTGATAGGATACTTATGTGATATGTGAAATGAATGTGAGCACTTAACAATTTCAGTTTATGAGTTCTCAGATACAGGTAATACAATATCTTAAATATCGCAGATCACCTCGTTTCATTTTGGCTGGACATTAATTCACTATACTTATGTTTCTAACAGTGAAATAGTAAAAAGTGGGCTGTTCATATTAAGCTTCAAGCAAATGCAGCCATGTGGCAGAAAAATAAAGACCTAATTTGCATATTTTTCACAGAAGCTCTAGAAATGTGATTAAAAGGTTTTGAGAGAAGTGTTGAAATAAATATCCCGTTTTACTTTCGGTACGCCTTACAGAGAAAAAAATCCTACATTTTTCCCGTTGTGGGTTCTGAAATATTAACTTAGCAACAGACAAGGAAACTGATTTACTCTGGTGTCAGAAAGATGTTTTTTCTCAGGATAAATGTTTTGCCCTTCTCTAACTCTTTCTGAAATGGATGGAGCAGATATGAATGTTGTGTGATATTATTTTGATGAGTATCAAACTATCTGAAATATACCATAGAAACAAAGAAAAACTCTCCTTAGGAGAAATGCTTGTGTGTGTGACTGCACCCTGGAGGCACTGGATGCTGTTAAGATACAGAAAAACCCCCTTGTTGTCACCTTCTGAAACAGCAGAGTGTTCAAGGTCATAAAGAAGAAGTGGGTTTGGTTATGGCCCTGGGCTCTGACATGCTTAGCTGGCTTTACGGAACGTTGTCTGCTCCATCTCCTGGCTCTGCCCCCAGAAAGAGAGGAAGAACTGTCTCTGTTCCCATTGCCAAGGCAGGGATGGATTTGAGCGGGCTCCCAGGATACAGAGCTCTCCCTGCCAAAGAGTCGGGCTCCCAGTTGGTAAAGTCAGGAGGTTTTCACAGTTCCAGTGAGAGTGGAATATATCAGAGAGGGCATATCATGCTGTTGGTCACCAGTGGGCACATCTGAGCCTTGTGTCTCCCACAGGGCATGGTAGAAGGGAGACTTTGCCCAGAAGGGAGACTTTGCCCAGAAGGGAGACTTTACCAGGCCTGGTACTCTGGCTTGTTTGCTTGTTTCTTATTTCAGTATCACAGCCTGTCTTTCTGTCCGTATTTGTTATGTATCAGCAAATGTCCAATTTAGTTTGTCTTGTCCTGTTTTAACTGTGCTAGTAGATTGGGGGTTGTGGTTTTTATTTTGCTTTGAAACAATGGAAAAATACCAATAGAGATTTGATGTAATCTTAAATTTATTTAAAACGTCGTGCAACATGTAAGAAAATTTATTAACGGAGGTGGAGTGGGAATAGATTGTCATAAAATAATGAAAAAGCACTGACATTTTTCAAATAGTGTTTAAGCTGAAGGACCGTGGAGGGATTAAGGAAAATGGCAGATAAGTGCACTTGAACTTCTTTCAGAATAAAGTAAGAATACATTCAGTCTTTTGAATGGTTGATTAATTAAATGATTCCTGCTGATTTGGACCCATTTATCTAGTATGTTCATTAGTTTAAGTCGGGCATGACATAATGGTGGTAATTCTGTCTGTAAAGCTAACAGAAATGCTTATGGATTTTGAAGTATCCAGTGGCTGCTAGCTTTGTTTTATTATACTTAATTTCAGCAGACTTAAATTATTCAATTACAGTATTTTTGTAATGTCCATTATTTAGACTGTTTATAGTAAATAAGTTGTTTTATATATGTATGTTTTACAGCAACCAACAGGCGTTTTTACTAGAAAATGTCCCCTGCAATAATGTGAGCTGCAAGAGTGTGCGTCGCATGTTTAAGGTTTTTTGGGAGCTCTCCGATCTAAACCAAATCAAGGATGCAGTGGTAGCAACCTTCTTTGACATATACGAAGACGTAAGTTCAACAATTTACTACAGCAAACGGTGTCTCTGTGTTGCTGTTCCTGTCCCTGTGCCCTTTTGGGGAAGGGCTGGCTTTTGTGGCAGCGCCTTCAGCCTGGGAAACTCCCTCCTGAGGCGCTCCCTGAGCAGAGGGCACAGAGCAGCAGCCCGTCGCTGCCACGAGTTCACTGACCCCCATGTGCTCCATTTGAGCTGCCCCTTGCAGTGGCAAGAATAAGCCATGGACCACGTGCGTTGTCCTGGTTAGCTGTGGATGAAGCACTCTGTCCTAAATTACCAGAGATTAATAAGATTTGAAAGATATTAAAACTAGTAGCGAAGGTGTAACCTTTGCTGCACACACTCTATTTTTTTCCGTTATATCTCTAGGGGAATTTGTTTGCCAAATTTAGATGTTATCTAAAGTAAATCAGCATTCTAGTGTAAACTTTTTTTTCCTTTAGGGAATCTTGGACATCATCGTGCTAAGCAAAGGCTACTCCAACAAGGACTTTGCTATCCATACATTAAAAAATAACTTTGAAGCAGATGCCTATTTTGTTAAAGTGATTGGTAAGTTATCAGTGTATAATCAAGTCAAAATGGGACCTTGAGAGGACAGCATTTGAGCCTCTCTATAGGATAACTTTATCGTGATGCTCTCCGTATGATAGTAATAGAAAAGACAATATAGTGTGGAAAATATTAGTAATTGAAGAAATTCAGCCTTGACCACAGTGACTTTTAAGTGTTCGTCATCTCCTGAATGTGGGGTTTGTGCTTGTTGGTTGGGGCTTTTTTCTTAGAAGAATTCATGCCCTATTTCATGCTAGAAGCAGGCTGGAGGCAGGCTAAATCTTTCCTTTCATCCTGGACCTTTCCTTCTGCATGCTAGCAAAATTCTAAAGATAGACACTATCTTTAAAACTCATTTCTCAGCCAGCTTCTGAAGGAAAAACAAGAGTTATCAGGTGTCTAAAGGTATGATCTGCAGGGAAAGAGCACACGGAACCAAGTTACTCAACCTAAAAGGAAATGTAAGGTTTGAAGACCCGTGTCTTCAATCCATAATGATGCATAACATCAGGGGAAGAGTGTTCTGTGTGTCCCCATGGGATACAACAGAAAGTAAAGAAGAGTAAATAGTAAGAATAATTCCCTAAAGAATGACTAGTGAAGTAGTAAAGTAAATTCCTGGAGAAGCTGCAAAGTTACTGGTTAGAGGTCCTGACAAGTAGGCTAAGAAATTATGTAGTACATTTAATTGGTTTTTGAGGGAGAAGGTTGGACTAGCTGAATTTGAGGCCCCTTCTGTGAGTGTTTTGTAGAGTAGCTTCACTCACCTCCTCACATAACATAATGTTGTCAAGATCTACAGATTTACACGTATTTATCACTCAACTTAGATTTTTTTTTTTTTTTCAATCTGTGATGATATTTAAAATTTGGAGGAAGATTAGCTAATAAATCACTAATTTGAGTAAAAATATAATTATGCTTGCACATATAAATATGTATGCCATAGTGAGACAGAAAGGAGCCAGAAGAAATGACAGCAATATTGACTTGAAGGAACATGCTTCGTTTGTCCACAATGACTGCCTTTTTATCTTGCCTATTTTCAGAAACCTGGGCAGGAAAGAACAGCCAAATGCACTTATTTTCATTTGTGCCTTGAGTGGTTGCAGTATTTTCTTTCCAACCAGGACTTCTGTGGTTTTTGCTGTACCTCTGTCATATCAAGCCTCCTCTACTGGAGTTCTTCTGTGTGTCATCTGGAAATGATGCAAAATGTGGTGCAAAATGGGCTGGTTTCATGTCAGTGGTGACTGGCACGGTGTATGTTTTGCTTATGCCATGTGATCTTTTGTGAGAGGCAGTTTGTTTCCATGTGTGAGGCAGTTTGGTGTTTTCAGCTTAAAAGCACTACGTGGCACAAAACACATCTTACTGTAAAAGCGTAGAATGGCAATGAACGTAGCAAGGGTGTGTGAGTTAATTAGAGCCTTGGTTTAAAAGGCTAGAGTTAGATTATTGTATTTGTAATTGAGAGTAATTAGGTTTTCAAATTCCATGTCCTACCATGTTCTTCCAGGCTGCAAAGGTGTTGAGCTTTGAGCTCAGAGCTTGTCTGTCTTCCTTGAGTTTTTGAGTCTCATTTTAAGAACTGAGGCTGTACGTGAGCTCATGAGGACAAAGCAAACAGGAGCGACTAGAGGTTCACCTTCAAAAATTGTATTTGCCTTCATGTTATTTAAATGTATCTAATCCTTCTAAAGCACACATTCTGCACACCATAAGATAAACAGAACCGCAGCTACTGCTGGGGGTTGAGGCATTTAGCCTGAGCTTTATTCTCATCGTAATACTCTATAATGGTTTGTCATGTTGATGGAAGCCTTTTAAATAATAATGTATATGCGTAGTGTAATTCACACAAGCATGTAGAAAATCCTCTAGAAAAATCTTATACTTCACAGAGCCATGTCAGAATTACAATTGTGTGACATTTTTATGGTGAAAAGAGTAATTTGCAACATGCTTTTTGATTCGCTCTGTAAATCTACCTTAAAAATTGGAGCAAGCCTTTTTTTAGCACCCTTTTAGGGTGTGAGTATTTTTGCATAGAAACCCAAGGAAATGGAAATTAATGAGTAGTCTAAAAATATTTTTACAGCAGTACAGGGGAGAATATTTCTAACAAAACATGCTTTGTGCGAGTTAGTGTATCGATAAATGCTTTGTGTTCACTTCTTTGGCATATGGACAATGAGAACAGTTTTGCTCATTAGAACTGATGTCAGATGTACTTGGTGGGATTATTTGTTCCAGTAGTGAAATTGAACAGCAAATTGCGGTGTGCTGTTCTGCATCAAAATAGGAAGAGTTGGTTCCACTTGCATACACACTTACGTAGAACATATAAAATAAGCTTGTAGCTTAAAAAGTCTATTTGTAAATACATACTGTCTTAAAATTCTGCTTTGCCACATCTTCCTTACCTTACCTGTCCAGATTTTTAATTTTTTTTTTTACTGTATAAAAGTAATAGATTTTTTCTGCATTTGGAAATGTCAACATTTTAAAATCACAAGCAAAGAATAATAACTTGGGGGTCATGATAGTTGTTAATATTTGCACACAAAATATTAGAAATATTCCTTCACCAGACAAGTGCCATTTCTGACTCTAGTAGGGAGTGTTTTCTAATTGGACTGTAACACTATGAACATCCTATACGCACTTTTTAGTATTTCACTGTCCCCAAACATTTTATACACAAAACTCCATCGAGCCTTAGAGTAGACACAAAAAGCTTTAAAAATATATCCCAGTGGGTTGGATCACCTGCCCTCAAACCTGGTCCTAATCTTAATTTTTGCTGTCTGCCACACTCACTTTGGGATACCATAACTCACGGAGAATATATGTTTTCACTTGGCTTTAACACTGCCTGGTCTGTAGCCTCTTCCCTGCTCGTAGCCATTATTGGGCTGCTGCTCCACCAAACTGTTGTCATTTGAAATCTCAACATTGCATCAGAATGACACCTTAGATTTTGTACATGTGTGTGTTTTCTGTTGTTTGCTTTAAAGACATTTTGGTACTGATGTTCTAATACTCAATGTGACAAGACATTCTAGGTTATAAAACAGATGGCTTTCATGGTCCATCGTTTAGTTGATTATAAATAAGCGTTAAACAGATATTTCTGTAATCTAACTGATTTTTTTTAAACTAATAAGCTTTAAACAAGTAATTGAACAACTGTCACAGGCTTTAGATATTAAGTAGCATTATACACATCTGCTTGTAATACTTTTGAATAAACAGGTAATGGAATTTTTGTTTGTTACAGCTTTTGTGCATTGCTTTAAATCAGGATATAAAACTATCCCTTGAATAGAAGAAAAAGCCTTTACTTACCTTTTTACCAGTTAAAACAGTAAAGCTGAATCTCTGGCAGTATTTTTAAATAGTTAGAAATGAAAAATACTTAATAAAACATATAGTCCACTATTTTAAAAATGTTTTAATTTGGAATTTTTTGAACTGGCAAATGTCTCCTTTTGAAGCTGGTTAACCAATGAGGTATGATAAACCAGTGACTAGATGATTAATTTCTTCAAAGAAGTATACTTCAAACAGATTAGGAAATTTTTTGTACATTAACATAAGTCATATAGAAGACATTTATTTTCTTTATGTGTTTTAATGAATACCTGACACTATTACTATACTTCAACAGATTTCAGATGTACTGCTTGTGAAACGGCTTGTTAACATAAATGCTGCAAGTTCTCTTTTTGTTTTTGCAGTTCTCAGTGGCCTCTGTTCTAATGACTGTCCTCGGAAAATAACAGTAAGTGTAACTATAACTTTTGCATTATTTAGCTTCAAATAAGCTGAGGTCTAATTATATCAAAAACTCCCTGCATATTAAGACTGTTGTTGACTGGAAGAATAAGCTGAGGTCTAATTATATCAAAAACTCTCTGCATATTAAGACCGTTATTGACTGGAAGAGTGTGTGATCCAAATGATGACTGGCCAAGCCTGACCAGTCTGCGTGCTTGAGACCTGAACCTTTTGCCAGCTGCCTGCTCAGAGATGGAACCAGTTGGCTGATTCTCCTGTTACCCAGCATCAGGAGGGCTGGGATATACCAGATACAAAAAAAACTTGTGCCCAAACTGTGTAGTGTGCCACATCTTGTCCTGGGCAGTCAGAAAGGCCAGGCAGAAGGGATTAAGGGACAGATTCGGCTGTATAGCCACTTCTGGACTAAAATAGAGTAATTGGGTACAATGAAGAACAGAAGGGAAGGAACTTAGACTTGGTTCTGATGATTCTGCAGATAGTTACATACACATGTGCTGATTTCTATTATTTCAATTATTTTAGTCATCTGCAGAGACCATGCAGCTCACCCACCAAACTTTCAATTAGCAAATTGTTTAGCAATGCTCACAGTGAAAGCTGCCCTAAAAGAGGAACTGAGAGGAGTCAAAGGTAGTGTTAGCACTTCAGCTCTGCAAAAATACGAAATTTAGTTTTGATTTGAAAATACATAAACTGCTTCAAACAGGACCAACTTTTTCTTCAAGCCTATTTTAAGACATAGAGTTTAATTTCTGATAAAAAATAATAAGGGGGTTTGGTAGCTTAATTGCAAAAGACAGTTTTTTTTCTTCACAGCAGAAGTTGGTGAACGTTTCATTATCAAAGTCATTGAAGCACTGAAGATCTGAAAGGTCTATACTGGATTTAATGCTCTGACACAGCTTAAGTTCAGCATTTAAAAAAAAGAAAAAAGGGAAAGCTTTCTTTTAAATCTATTCTTACAGTTGTCCCACTCCTCTCCCAAAAGCAGATCTTTGTTTCCTTCCCTTCTTACTTAGGTGCATTTGTTATGGTTCATCACTCAGTTCTCCGCAATTCCCTTTGATTTAATTTTTTTTAATTTATTTATTTATTTCCCCCCCCTTAACTGTACTTTGATGTTTAAGTACATTTTCTCCCTCAAGAGAATTTGCTTAAAATAGATATTGGTACTCAACAAGTAACTATTCAGCTAATTTCATTAATTAAATAAAACACTGGTAAATAATGATAACGAAATTTTGAATTTGTGTAGTATTTTTAAATTCAGAAAGAAAGTCAAGATGGTGCATTCTCTCATTCAATACCAAGTGGGTTCTGCTTTTTCAGAACATGCAGTTATTTATTTGAATTTGGGTGGGTTTATTTATTTAACTTGTAACTTCTGAGGAAACATTAAACCTTTTGCCAGAGGTCTAAATAGCATTGCTTTCTTCAGGAGAAACTACACATTACTTAGCCAACTGATTAGCCTTATTTTGAAAATCAATTTCCACATAATGCTATGGCCAAAACAGTTGCAATAATTTGAAATTATCTCTGTCAAAAGGAAATTATTAATCTAGAAACATTTTCTTTGGTTTACTTTTTTATTACTATAGCTTTGTCTGTTCCTAAAATTTTGCCTGCTTTTTCCTCCTCCACATTGTAGCCTTTTGGTGTTAATCAGCCTGGTCCTTACATCATGTACACTACTGTAGATGCAAATGGATACCTGAAAAATGGGTCAGGTAAGATAACCTGAGAATGAGAATAATGAGAATGCGCATGGTATGGTCTGTGTGTATATACTTCTCAGCAACCTAAAGAGTTGGAAAGCAGTTTACAGAGTGAGATGGGACTGGTTTTGAATAGTGTCTTCAGTTAACAAAACCCCTTAACTTTCTCTTCTTTCTTTAAAGATTGCATATTTATTACAAACATTACGACTGATTCTTTTTTCTTCTGTCCTATGCAAATTGGGCTTGAACACTTGGCTATATTTTTCCCAATCTGCAAAATCGTTGGGTACGATATCATCAGTTTGGGAGATAGCATAAGCTTCTAATTATTTCCTCTTTCTACCAGTTCCTTAGCAGTTATGTATTCAGAAACAACAGTGGCCTTGACATACCTAAATAGAATCTTGCAGCCACATGACAAAGGATCAACATAATATTCAGTAATCACAGGATGTATTTTTCTGGACTTGTTTGCTACATCTGGCAGGCTAACAGGCATCTATGCAATCCTGAGTAGCAGGAGGGAGATAGAGAGGGAATGGCTGCATAATACAAGAACTATAAGGTCTCAAAGAATCATTAGGCAACAGGATCAAGAGAAATGGAAAGAAGCAGCTCTTCTGCAACTTAACTGGAGGTTCAATTGCATGAGATGTTGCAGATGCCACAGTTTACATGAGCCCAAAAACAAGGTAGACAAGAAGAGAATAACGCCAGAGCATGGCCCAAGCAGTGCCTAATGTTAGAATATTCTGGGTTTATGCTGCCTTCCCAGGTCTGTTCTGGGAGGGGGGTTGGAGTAGATGATCTCCAGAGGTCCCTTACAACCCCACGTGATTCTGTGATTCTGTCTGTACTAGTGGCTCCCAGAAGACACAGGTGACTGTACTAAGTGTCTGTTAGTCTAACTTATCATTGTTAATCTTATGACCATCATGGACAGACTTCTTGCACATTTCCCATAGTTCACTGGGGAAAACTGTTTTCTGTACAACACTAAATAGCAGCAATAATTTAGGGGGAAAAGTGCTACTAACATCTTAACATCCTTAATAGACAATAATGCTCTTACCTTGAATACTGTGCTCAGGACTGTTAATTCCACCCTAGAAAAAAATAAAGAGAAAGAAGATGTCCTGAAATATGAACCAGATAGTTGCAAAAACATATCCTGGTCTTGTGTAGCACTTCTGTATTTGTACATGTTTCCATATGGGTGTAAGAGCTTAACAGTATTAACCTACTTTTTTAAAAAACTAATAATTCAGGCTGTCATGAAAATAAGAAGTATTTTTTCGAATTGTTGCACAAATTCATTTTAACAAACTAAACATTCTGCCAGTTGCACACTCAGCTTCGTCGCTCTGAAGGTTTTTTTCATAAGCTGAATTTAAAAAGAGCTTATATATTTAGTTAGAAACACTTAACCCCGTGATGGGTTTAGAGATTTTCAGTTACGCTGCATTCAGACTCTCTGGCCCGTGCCCGTAGGCAGCTGGTGCTGGTTGGGTACCACTGCCACATCTTGTTACTGCCAGTTACCAAGACAAAGTCTCGCAGGCTCTGTCAGAGCCGGGTGGCAGCACAGCCTGTCCTGTCACTGACACCAGGCAATACTGGTAAAGGCTTCACAGCATCTTTCCCCTTGTCCTTCCAAAGCCTGGATTTCTGTGGTGGGGGAAACTTGTTTCAGTATGGTGCCTTTAATTTCTGAATCCACTGGCTTACTCAAGCTAATTTTAGCTGGTACATAGGTGCCTCAAATAAAACTCTACCAGTTCTGTCAAAATCAGCAGTTTGGTAGAAGACAAAATTCCATGTGAGGAAAAGACTTTTGTTAGAGCTCAGCAGTTATTTGGTCTGGTTTTGTCCTCAGGCTGGCCGTATGGTCAGCACGCATGCAGCTGCAATTAGCCGTAGCCTGAGATGTTCTTGCCCAAGCAGTAATGAAGGAGCAGAGCAGAAAAAAGCTTAGCATATTGTGGAGGGTTTGTGGGGAAATAGAAGCTAAGGCTAAAAGATGTTGCCGGTTCCATACAGGAAGTAGGACTGCCATGCAAACTCATACAAATACAGACATGCCTAGTTTCACAGTTACTATCCCATTTTTGAAGGCATTTTGCCTCAGGACAGGTTTCTAGAGATTCCTACTGTGTTATCCATATTACTTTTAATTCACACTGGAGTGCCTTTTCTGTTGTGTTCTTCTTGATGACCAGCTATCTTGGGTTTTGTCCTCTTTTTGCTTCCACGTTGCATATGAGCTTTAGAGTTGAGTTTCTGATAGGGTACTGGTAAGATCTACACTGTTAAATATAGACAATGCAGTTGTACCTTTTTTTAAGACATGTAAGTACATGTTTTTCAAAACAACAAAAGTCTAAACAGTTTGGAATGCACCTCATATCTTAGTAAAGTAAAGAGTAAAAACTCTCACAAAATTTGTGTTATAAAGATTGGAATTTACCAGTCCTTCCTTACACTGTTAACTAAACTACTTGACGTTGATCACCGTGGCTCCGTACTCCTGGGGGCCATCTGTTTGGAATATGGACCTACTGGTAAAGCTGTTTCTTGAGAGCTGCTGTCAGAGCTACTGGAAACTACTCTAATTCCTATATAACAAAATTTATTTCCAGCCTGCCACTAAAAGTTAGCTGAGTGCATTCATTTGGGTGAACATGCATCTAAACGAAGAAATTGATGGGTTTAAAGTAGTGGAATGTGTTTATTCCTTGGGGCTCGCTGGGATTTGATGCAGGCCTGCCTGCATTTGGTGCACCCGTGTGAATAGAAAATAACTTAATGAAAGCACAGCCTCAGAGTTCCTTCGGCCGTGTGACACGTACGTGCCTCCTCCCTACCTACACACAGTCTTATTATCGGATAATCAGGAGTACTGATGAATAACTCTAAGTAACAAAAAAGACATTTTTTGCATAAGAAAAGAAACACATTAGTAAAACCATCAAACTAACCCTTTTTTTTCTTCTTTAGGAAAGTGCAATAAAATGGCTATAAATCAAAAAAACTACAACATAACCTTTGCTTGTATCTAATTATACTCATTTAGATTCATTGTTCACGTAGTCAGAGAAGATTTTAACTCTTGCTACTTATTTGTAACTTATAGTCTCAAACTTAGAAACCTGACATTTTAGGTAATCTCATATAATACCCTTTAAAAATCATGTCTAACAGTTAGTAGAATCTATATTACTAGATTCTTAAAAGTATTTTGTATTTGGGATATCATAACTAGTAACTGTAGGGGACTGAAACTTGGCATATCTGGATGATATATTACATGATGCTTTTTAAATAAATTTGATTTTTATAAATTGACATTTTTTTAATCAGACGGTGACAAAATAATGGGTTTGTGGGATCTCAAGTGCAGAATATCTGTTAAAAGGTTAATTCATAGAAGTATAAACTGATTCTAAACCCCACTTTGAGGAAATACAAGTTTAGACTGGTTTGTTTTGTGTATGTTTGACCCTTTGGCCCTTACTACTTAAGCAAGCTTATAAAATAACCTAGTGGCAAAATGAAGATGTTCTTCCAACTATAGACCTCTGTCCTGGAAGAATGCACACAGCTTACAAATTCCTTATATCTGTAGGGAATAAAGCTAGCTTAAAATTTAGACTTTTCATGTATAATTTTCTTAATATTTTTTTTCTGGTTCTTTCTTTCAAGAACAGAAACAAATATATTTTTTCTTAAATGTTATCTGTAGGGTTTGGTTGGTTTGGGTTGGGGCAGTGCTTTTAGAAATGCAATGTTTTTACAATTTTCTCTAAGAAACAGCTATCAAATGTGATTTAATATTGCTATAGTACCATTCATCTTTACTGCTAACATATTTACAATAATAAAAACCTAACAGCGTCCAATCATGATGAATTTCCTTCTCTGTTTTGGCATTATGAAATAACAGGCATGAATTCCAAGTGCATTTATGACCCTAGTAGTATTGCTACAGGGAATTTTATAATACTGTCTTTGATCAGTTTCTCAACTGTAATATGTTAATAGATTTTTTTTCAGTCTGTATAATTCCGGCAAGAACTTTTCAAAGTCACATTTTCTGAAGTGATTATATTAAGTTTGTAGCTAAACTTTCTTCTTTTACATATCCTACTCGTAAAATTCAGTAAATGTTCTTCTAACTAGAATTATTGCCCTACAGGTTACTATCTTGACAACCAGGCTGTTACATCAGAATCGTATTCTATTTGACTATCAAGAAATACCTCCAGCAACACTTTTATATAAGTGTACTGGTGGGCAGTACCAAACCCACATGGCATTTTTTGGGCCATATTTAAACTTACAAATCATCTTTTCCACATTAAGCTTTTGAAAGTATGGCATCAATACACTATTTTAAAACTAATTTTCTCCAACTTATTTGCATTCCTTATATAGTATCATGGAACAATCCGTATCTGAAGCTTTTAATTATATTACAGCAGTATTGAGAGAATCTAATCGTTTGTAATCATATTTTTAAAATAATTCATCTCTTTCCCAAGAAGTAACGTGAATAGCAACATAGTTCTTTGCCTAATTAAAACAATGCTCACAATTCAATTGTTTTTTCCAAGTGGCTGATGCTATTTGTTGTCTTTACCACTGGTCTCAGCAGGGGAAGAGTTATTGGCTGGAGCACTGAAACCAAACTATCCAGTCACCTTAAGTTATCCTTCCAGCCCTGGGCTAAAGTAAATCATAGAGTACTCAAAGAAATGTCCAACGTTCTGCTTCTGATCCTCCTAATTCTGCAGGTCTTTAGTTCTGAATTATGGTATCTTTCATGTATGCAATATTCATGCAAAGAGTAAAATTAAAAGGCACATATGGCTGTCCTTATCTAATTCATTTTAAGGTTCTTTGATCTGCCAAGCCGTAACTACAGGAAATTTGCATAATTACGAGGGGTTTTTTTAAAACATTGTTAGAATTATTCTCTCGCCTATTAACATTCCAGTATGTTGTTAAAA